TTTTTTTTTTTGTAAATTTAATTGGATTTAATTTTGTAGTAATACCATTAAAGCCAAAGAAAGCATGTCTTGTAGATCCAGATTCTTGCTCGGCCATGAAATGGTAGTTGAGAGACATCTCTTGCATCCTCGTCAACAAGCATGTGTCCGCGTTCACTGCATGACCAAATCATATATATCAACCATATTCACCTTAAACTTGATCTCAAACCTCAATTATTTACCTAAGACTTTGATTTGCCTAAGAGTTTTATTGTCGTTGTTATATATCTGTACATACCAAATCTCCATCGGGCTTGGACGAGAGCGAGCTTAGGGTTGTGGATAAGAAATGGGATAGCGCGTTGAAGGTAATCGGGCTCGGGCTGGAAATCAGCATCAAAGATGGCCAGATAGTCGCATTGCTTGACATAGCTATGTGTCATGGCGTGTTTAAGAGCTCCAGCTTTGTAGCCATTTCTGTTGTCTCGTCTCTCATACTTTATGTTTAGGCCTTTTGTTGCCCATTTTGCACATTCAATGCTCACCAGTTCCTGACATTTTATACTCATGTTCAATAGCTTAAAATTAAGGTTCTACTCGTATGTTATATATATTGTTGTGCNGTAACACACTGTCCTAGGATAGTTGATTAAGAACGGACCATTATGGATGGATCGGTGGAGTCATCTAAAACTTGAATGATTAGGCGGTCCGATGGCCATACTAGTCTGCATGCAGCACCTATAGATAACTCAAAGACCTGCAGATATAAAACTATGTTGTTAGTACGTATTCCATAACCAACAAGTAACAACTAGAGAGTTTATTTCTTGTGTTACATAATCAATACTTTTATGCTAGTTGACAAATGAGGGAACATCAAGCGTAGATGTGTGATGACAGAACAAAGAGAGTAACAAGTCGATTCAGTGTTATTTGCTCAAAAAGAATAATACTGGAAAAACAATATGAAAGGAAAACATGATCATAGTAGTTTTATTTTTGACTTTAATTCGTTGGTGTCCTCTCAAAGAAATTGTCCTATAGAAATTAACAAGGCAATTCGAACCTTGTAATTATTTGGTTGATATAAGAATATATATTAACTTTTTCTCTATAGAATATTTCCTGAGCAGAGATATTAAAAGTATAAATCCCTGCTGATTTTTGTCGTCTTAGAAAAAAGAAAAAAATATTTGGAAAAGAATTGGCAGATAGTCTAGAAAGATTCCACCAGTCCCACTAAAATGGTGGATCCACCTTTTTCTCAA